AAATTGCCTTTCTGAGGGAACAAAGTTCCTTGCTCTATTTAAAGCAAGTGCCAAAGACACCCCCTCTTCCCAAGGAAACCGAGCTCCTGGCAAACATCCCTGGTTACAAGCCTGCCCTTGCCAGTACTTTTCCGTAGTTCTAGTAGGAACACAGACAATGCAAGCCCCTTTTGCCCAGGCTTGGGAGAGGAAGGGTGACCAAGGATGAAAAAGACACGTGTAGCCCGGCTGGTGTTGCTCAGTGGTTGAGCATTGACCTATGAACCAGGAGGTCACGGATTCACAGTTCGATTCCCGGTCAAGGGCACATGCCCGGTTGCAGGCTCTACCTCCAGTGTGGGGCGTGCAGGAGGCAGCCGCTCAATGGCTCTCTCACCATTGATGTTTCTCTCTCTCCCTCTTCCTTCCCTCTCTGAAATAAAAACTTATAAAAATTCTTGCACTCATTTCATTGGCTTATGTAATAATTAAAGCAGTCACTATAGAAGATGGACTGTTGCAGAGCTTGGAACAAATACCACGGAACAGGTGAGACAAGAGGAGGCTGCGGGTGCTGGGCGGGCCCGGGCCAGGGTGATTCCTCAGAAGAAGTGAGCTGGTTCGGAGGGAGGGGAAGCCCCGGGTCCGGTGTTGGCAAGGCCTTGAGGCTCCCAAGAGATGCTTGGAGCTCCTGGAGCCGTCCCAGCCAGGGATTCAGCCACTTCCAGCAGACGGGATTCTGCTCTTTTAATGCTGCTAGTAAGTGGTCACGTGGCTAGTACCCGTTTCACTAAAGAGGCGGCCGGTGCTGGAGAAGGGGCTCCGCAATCAGAGGAGAGGAGACTGACGGGGCTGCACCTTGTTCTAGGGGAGCCCCTCTCCAGGGCTGGGCTGGCTCCTTGTTGCAGGCTCTGGGTTTCAACCCGACCCAAGCACTGGGGTCCCCGTGCTGGGGAGCCGGCTTCATGCCTCTCCCTGCCCACACTCTCCTCTCGTTCCCACAGTGGGCAGTGTGGCTTGGGGCCACAGCCACCAGTAGGTCACTTGCTTTTTTCGTGGCCCAGGTTGTGAGGCCCTTGTTTTCTAGAGAAATCTAGTGGCCGTCTCCAGCTTCAGTGACCATAGTCACAGGACAAAATGCCTTACGTGTCCCCCTCACAGACACTGAGGACAGGTGACCAGTGCCCTGTTCCACGGTGTCACTGGCCTGCCCAGCCTGACTCCATCTCATTCCCATCCCACTCCACTGGCCCGCCCCCCCCCCCCCCCAATATACTCCTCAGGCACAAGAGGAAACAGCTTTGGGTGGGACCTGCGTCCAGAAAGGAGGCCGCTTGGGGAGGGGCGGAGATGGGGGTGTGCCTGGATAGAGGCTGGGCTGGAACTTACTTCTGAGGAGCCTCCTGGAGCTATGGCTGAAGGCAACTCTGGCTGCCACTCCAGGCTTGGCCACCAGAGGGCACCATAGTCCCCGCAAGAGCCCTGGATCTTCCTGCCCCTTGGGGTTTGTCTCGCGTAGGCCATTCACCAGGTGAACGTTAATGCGGATTCTTTCCAACAGATGGAGTCACAGGTATGTTGACATAGATGCGATTTGATATGGATGCTATTGTGTTGTATTGACAAGCTTCAAAACTCCATACGTCAAATTTGCTGAAGGTGTTAGCATCATAGATATTTTTACGCTTAAAAATGTCAAATTTCATGCCAAAAAAAGAGCATTTTGCGGGAAGTTTTAATTCATTACTTTTATTTTGAAGAAAAGTGCTAGCGATGGAATTACTTTGACTAAAGCACTTTTGATGTTTCTCTTGAAATTATCGTGTTTTCGTTGATTACAAAATCCGAATTATTAACCGGTTAACAAGCCGCATGACTAACTGGTCAACAGCTAATCTGCATGACTAACCAGTTAACAATTAATCCACATGACTAACCGGTTAACAATCCGCATGACTAACCAGTTAACAATCCGCATGACTAACCAGTTAACAATCCGCATGACTAACCGGTACACCTAGGGGGGTGTGCGTGTGGGCAGCCTTCGGTGCGTTTAGGAATACCGGGCTCCATCCCCTTTCTGAACACTGCCTCCCAGCCTTGGCCTTTGAATAGGTTTATTAATGGGAAGAGTGGAGATGAAGGACGTGGGTCCCCTGGGTCCTGGGAGGCTGCAGGGGAGGCTGGCCTGGTCGGAGGGCAGGTGTGGTGCCCCGGAGCCGCCTCAGAGGAGAAGGGCCAGGACGGACCTGCGGGAGGGCTGGCTGGGCCCTCAGGGCCCACAGACTGAGTGTGGGGAAGCAGTTTGTGTGTGGGGTGGCGGGGGGGGGGGGGGGGGGGGACATAGGACTCAGCGGGCTTGGAGCCGGAGGCTGAGCCAGACCGTGTCTCCCTCTGCACCGTGGCCTCTGCCGCGTCGCCGAGTTCTTCCAATGCCTCAGAGCACTAAGCGCCCGACACTGTCTGTTCTTAGGGCGTTGTGTGGACGTAATTCTGACACGTATGAGGTCACACTTCCCTGTGGGTGTGGGCAAGGGCAGCTGGAATTCCAATGCCAGGCTGTGCCCCTGTTGGCTTTAGAGCTACTTTCTTTGCCCAAAGCATGATTATATGGCCACCTGTGTTAAGAGCCTGCTCAGTGTCAAACGTGTTACTGACCTTTGCAATGCCGTCATCTGTTAAACAGACGAGAAGCTGAGGCTGTGGAGAGGTGGCCTCAGGTCACTCAGCTTCCTGGCACCAACCCCAGGGTCTTCGCAGAGATCTTCAGCTGCTGGGGGGAGGGCTGGCTGGGCCTCAGGGCCGCCCCCTCGCCGCGTGTCCCCGTCCCGCCCCCACCCCCACCCCTGCGCCTTGCTCTTCGCCGCCGACCTGGAGGCTGGGGCAGGGAATTCCCGGCCTCCAGCCAGGTGGAGTTGGCGCGCTCTCTCTCAGGTTCCCATGCACCTCCCTCAGGTGACTGGTTGCCTCAATCTCTGAGCTGGTCCAGGTGAGCAGCAGACCCCTCCCCTGGCTGACACCTGGCAGGCAGCATCCCAGGAGGAGGTAGGGGTTTTATTGACCTGATGGGTGACGGCCACATGAATGAGGCTGAAGTTTAAGAGCCTTTGTTCCAGATTTGCACTCACAGCCCAGGCAGGGGAGGCTGGGGCCACAGCCCAAGGAGTCTGAGTCCCGCTGGGACCATGGGGCCCGTGGTGAGAGCAGAGGAGGGGGGGTGGGGGGTGGAGTCAAGGCCAGTGTTTGAAGCGCAGGTGCTATGGGCCAGCGAGACAATGGCCTAGAGCAGTGGTTCGCAACCTCGGCTGCACATTAGAATCACCTGGGTATCTTTTTAAAATCCTGATTTCTGGGCCTCATCGTTCTTCCTTTTTCTGTTGCCCGAGGCCTGGGGGAATAAGCAGGAGGAATGCTGAGCTCCTGATAAGGTCTATCACGGAGATGCTCCCGGTCCTGACAAATTAAAAGAACATTGAGGCCGTAGCCGGGGACACCACATTTTTCACTGAACCAAATTGATTGCAGCGCTGACTCCTGGCTGGCAGGCAGGCTGCCTTCCTCCGCCCGTCAGTTCCCGGTGAGCTGGTTGGGAACAGGCTTCCGGTGGAGTGGCGGGCAGCCAGCCGGCCAGCGCGCTCGGCTGGGCTCCTGGCTCCCTGCCAGGAGGCTGCGGCCCTTTCTGGCTCTGCGTCCTGCAGATTCACTGTCCGTGTGGGGAGCAGGAAGGAGAGAACGGGGTACAGCGGCCGGTCTGGTCAAGCCACAGTCCTGAGATCGCCTGGCGAAGGGCGGGGCCCGGTGTCCCATCTCAGTCACGATGACAGACAGACTGACAGACGGACTCCTTCTACCTCCTCTGCCCTTGCCCAGGCTGCGCTGCCGGGGCAGGGGTGAGGGAGGGCAGGGGAGAGGGCTGACCTCCAGGCAGGCCTCAGGGCTGTGGGTACCGCCTGCCTCCCCCAGGACTCCCCGAGGCCGGTCGACGCCGCTCCTGACAGCCGGGAGGTGGCAGCCGCTGCCCGCAGGTGCTCTGAGGCCGCCTGATGGATGGCCTCTCGGTTCCACCTGGTGCTACTGGCAAAGTGACGGGAAAAACACCCTCCCCTGCCTCTCCCCCGGGATTTTGCTGTTATAGAGACTGGCTCCCAGACTAAAGCGGATTCTCCAATTGTGCTGCCGGGAAGGGCTGGCCCGCCCCTCCTCCCAGGAAGGGCCCCAGGTTGTCTGTGCAGCCCCCCCCCCACACCCCTCCCCAGGCCCTTCCCACAGCCACAATCCTCACTGCAAACTTCCCACTTTAAAGGGACATGCCAACGCCAGCCGGTGTGGGTGAGTGGATAGAGCGTCGGCCGGAGGACTGAAGGGTCCTGGGTTGACCCCCAGTGGGGGCGTGCAGGAGGCAATCGATCAATGACTCTCATCATTGATGTTTCTATCTCTCTCTCCCTCTCCCTTCCTCTCTGAATCAATAAAAACATTTAAAAAATAATAAAATAAAATAAAGGACATGTCAGCATGAAGAAACTCGCGCGTGTGGAAACCCTGGTCTTTAACCAACGCGAGCTCCCTCTCTCCCTCCCCGTCCCCTCCCGGGATCCCCTCTTCCTCCAGGCGACACCTGTGGGGGAGGTGTCTGGGGGAGGGGAGGGGAGGGGAGGGGAGGGGCTCAGATCGCAGTGGCTGTTGGGGAGGGGCTCCCGGTAACGTGGCCGGAATGGGCCACGAGGCCTGACTCTCCTGACCTTCAGCAGGAGGCCGGGCGCCGGGAGCCTGGGCTGCACTACGGGGGGGGGGGGGGGGGCTGCGAAGGGTGGGCAGGGTGGGTGCAGCCCCTCCCTCCTCCCCCCTCCCCCTCCCCGCCCTTTGCTCTCCCTCCTCTTCCCTCCGCCTGCTGCCCGCCCCCTCCAGCCCCGCCCTGCGCCGCAGCGCGCACCGCCCTCCGCTCCTCCCTCCTCCTCCCCCTGCGCCCGCCTCCCTCCCTCCCTCCTCCTTCTCTCCCTGGTTCCTCCTCCCGCTCCCTCCTCCCTCCCTGCTCCGCGGGCACCGCTCCGCGAGTCTGCGGCAGAGCCTCTTGGCCGAGTTGGGGCCGGGCCGGCGCGGGGACTGGGCCGGGGCTGGGCCAGCGCGTCCTCGCCGCCCGCCCCCCACTTCGCCCTCGCGCGAGGCCGGGGTCTCTCCTGCTGCTGCGGCCGCTCCGGTGAGTACGCCCCCCGCCCGCGGGGCACCCCGGCCCCGAACTTTCTCCTCCCGCGGGCTCTGCCTAGCCCCGGGCGCGGTGGGACCCTGCGCGCTGGGTGGTGGGAAGTTGTGGGCGAGGGGAGTTTGGACGCGTCCGGACGCGAGGCTCGTTTTGGGGACCCGGCTGCTCTGCGGGTTCAGGGCGGGGGGGGGCGGCGCGCAGACTCCACGGGCTCCCAGGATGCGCCCCCGCCTCAAACTTGGGGACCTGGTCCCGTCGTGGGGGGAGGGGGGAGGGGGCCCCAGGAAGCAGAGGCCCTGGGTCCTGGTGAGGGTGGGAACACGGTGGGGTCGGGAGGCGCTGGGACAGGGACTTGGGGAGATGCGGCCCCCCCTCCTCTCCGCAAATCTCATGACTCAGCAGGACGAGGGCGTCCTGTCCGCGCCAGCGCCTCCCCCGGGGCTTGGCTCCCACCCGCCCTCTTAGACTCCTACCTGACCTTTCCCGTTGCCCCCTCCCCTGCTCTTCCCTCGCCCCTATTTCAAGGCACAGGGTTTTTAACGGAAAAGACATCACTTATGCTTCCAGCCCTTGAACCCAGGTCCCCTCCCCCATCCTCCCCCCTTGTCACCCCCACATCCTGCAGGTGCCTCTGGGACACCCCAGCCCCCGGTATGTGGGGGCTGCCAGAGCCCCCTCTCCCCTTGGCAGCACCCCCTCCCAGTTAGGGAGAGAAGTGGGTGCTCGCAGGCCAGCAAGAGGAAGGGAGAGCAGGGTGAGGGCAGGGCCCACGGGGGCATGAGGATGGGAACGCCTCAGGGTCCGGGTGCCCAGAAAGACAGGCCTGTGGGCGAGGGTCTGACGGGAGATGGAGGTTTCCCGCTCCCCTCCTCCCGTTGCTGCCCCGTGTGGTCTAGGTTGTCCCCAACTGGACCGTCCAGCCCTGGTGACCGGGCACTGCTTCAGAGGGGTGACCATGAGGGGCAGGGCAGCCCTCAGCCCCATTGCTGTCTCCCCTGCTCAGGTCTGAGCCCAGCCTCCAGGCTGCAGGACGAGCTGCAAAGGAGAGCCATGCCCAGTGCCCCAAGGCCAGGCCCGAGGGCCGGGTTTGAGGGGCAGGGCCGTTCTGATGCAGTGGGACGTGCTGGCCTGGCCTGAGTCCTGGCGGGCAGTGGCCTGGCGGGCACTGCCAGCTGCAGCCTGTGCCGGGACTGGGGGCTGAGTCAGCGTCAGGGGCCCAACCAGGCCTCTGTGGCCAGGCCCAGGGAGTCCAGCCCCACCTCCTCCATGGGCCCCTGGGCAGGACCAGCGCTGCCTGCACCCTCATTCCTGGCCTCTGTCTGCCACCTGCCTGCCTTTGCCCACCTGGCTCTTGGACAGGACTCCAGCCTCATCTTCTAGGAAGCCCCTTGGGGCCTGGCTTTTTCTGGGGACCTCTCAGGCTTGACGCTCACCCCTCCCCTTCCTGTCTTGCCCAAGGAGGAGCTGGGGGGCTGCTGGAAAGTTGGGGGGGAGGCCAGAGAGAAGTGCTCCACCTCCAGCCTCCCCTGGCCCTGGTCCTGGTCCCCAGGCTGCTCTTGTGAGTCAGCCTTGTTCTAGGAGCTTTTCGGGCAACTTTATGTGGGGGGGAGGGCGGGAGAGGGCGGGCAGAGGGGGTGATGATGCCAACACAATCCTCTTTCTCAGCTTTGCAGCCTGATGGGCCTGGTACCCACAGGCCAGGACCCAGGACCCCGGGTGGGAGCAGTGTTGGTGTTTATAAACGTGACTCTTACCCCACAGACAAGCTGGCAGCCGTTCCTCTCTGGCTGGTTCTGGCTTTCTCCCGGGCAGAGTGTGGACGCGTCGAAAGCACGTCAGGGGCAGGGAGACCCTTTCCGGAGCCGGGTCTGGGTGCCTCTGACCTCCCCCTCAGGCAGCTTCCAGGCGGCTGGGACAGGGCTGCAAGGACCTGGGGGAGGGGAGGTTGAGGACTGCTGGAGAGGCCTCTCGGGTGCCCTCCCGGAGCCCACTCCCACCAGCCCAGGCCCTCTCCTTTCTCTGGATGACGTCCTCTCTCCGCACCCAGTCTGTGCAGCCTCTTGGAGAGAGAGTCGATGGAGGGGTCGCAGGAGGCCTGGGAGTGGGTGTGGGCAGGATGGTGAGCGTGGGGAAACGGTGGGAGCTCAGTGGACGGGAAGAATGGAGGTCAGCCGGCCCTGGACCGGAGTGTCCTCAGGTAGTCAAGGCCGTGCAGGAGCAGAAATGCTTCCGGTCCTTCCAGAACTTGGAGTTTGGGCTTTCCTGTCCCAGGTTCTAGCTGGAGCTGGGTTTGCTCTCCTCGAGCCAGAGAACACGGAAGCCCAGGTGACAGCGATGCTCTTTAAAAGTAGAGCCCGGATGGCGTGGCTCAGTGGTTGAGCGTCGACCTGTGAACCAGGAGGTCAGGGTTCGATTCCCGGCCAGGCACATGCCCGAGTTGTGGGCTGGATCCCCTGTGTGGGATGTGCAGGAGGCAGCTGATCAACGATTCTGTCATCATTGATGTTTCTATCTCTCTCTCCCTATCCCCTCCTCTCTAAAATCAATTTAAATATATATATATATATATTTTTTTTTAAAGAACGCATCATAACTGTGACAGGTGTTAGGAAGGCATGCAGGATGTGTTGAGAGCATAGAATGGGGTCATCTGACCAGGTCTGGAGAATTTCACCTGTGAAACAGGTACCGATACCTCACAGCCAAGGAGAACTGTGATTTGGCTGCTGGACAGGTACAGCCAGCGGCATCTTCCCGCTGGCAGGGAGCAGAGAGGCCTAGATTCAGTCACAGGGAGCCTGGGAGGAGCAAGGCTTCATTGGAGAAAAGTCAAGTCAGAGATATTTTTCCTGCGAAGCAGTTGGGTGACTATAGCTGGACTGCCTGCCCGGCTTCCATCTGGTTCTGCCACTCACCCTGATTTGGGCCAGTTATTCCATCTTTCTCAGTCTTCCCATCTGCAGAATGGGGACAAAATTCCTGTCTGTGATGCGGGTTGTTTCGGGGGGAGGGTGAAAGGAATCAACTCCTGTAAAGTAGGCCCCGCCCCTGCCCACTGGCCAGGCCTCGCTGGGTCCGCAGATGGGGGAGCACTTTCCACCCGATTTTCTTAAAGATTCGGGGGGAGGAGCCGCCCCAGCTTCCTTGGTGGCTCCCCAGCACCTCACCCTTCTGAGCGTCAGGCCCTTCTTTATGCCTCATGAGCTGCCTCTTGCCGAAGCTTAACTTCTGCGAAGCGTCGGCCCCTGCAACCCTTTTCGTCCCAGGAACTGACAGTCCAGGGCAGTGGCCCGAGTGAGGGAGGCCGAGAGGGCCCTGACCCGTCCCTGTGAGCCTGGACTGCAGGGAGCGCCTGGCTGCCGGCTTCCCCTAAAGAGGCCTGAACTCCAGCAAGCGTCCACCGTTCAATGTCAGGACACGGGGGGGGGGGGGGGGGGGGCTGAATTCCAGGCCCCTCCCGGACTGCCCGCTGGCAGCATAGGATACCGGCCCCTGAACCGCAGAGGTTTCGTGCCACCAAGCAGCCCCCCAATTGTAAGTCGGGCAGGAAAAGAAGGGGGGGTACCCGGCTGTTGTAAGGTCAGGAGAGGGTCTCCATGGGGTCTCTTGTTTCCGCCTGAGAGACAGTTCGTCTGCTGCCTGCCTGCGGAGCATGCAGAGGATGGGCGAGAACCTAGGGGACAGGCTCTGGGGTCCTGGGGAAGCACCTGGGGGCTGACATCACCTCACAGCCGTGAACCACAGAAAGTTAGCGGTGCCCCAGGAAGCACAGGCTGGCTGGGCTAGGACTGGTGCCGGCGGGAAGCGTGGAGCTAATGGAGGGGAGGAGGGACGGGAGCGGGGACGCTGCCTCTCCCAGTTCGACTCTCGTCGCATTAATAAGCTGCCCTGGTTCCTCATCAATCCTGGCGCTGCAGGAGGCAAAGGGAAAACGCAGCCGAGAAATTGGATTAGCTCCTGGATGCTGGGAGCTGCGGCTGCTGCCGGAGGCCGGGGAGCAGCCAGATCTGGCCTGCAGTCACAGCCCGGCTGAGGTCTGGGCTTCTCAGGGCCGCTGGTGGTGGTGGTGGGGGGGGGGGGACAGCAGGGCTGCCCCGGGGCCAAGACAGTGACAGAGCCAGGTGCTCATCACTGCAGGGGATGGGGCTTCCCCCGGGCTGTCCACAGTGAGCTCTGCAGGCCTGGGGCGGGCAGGCAGGAGAGGCCAGCACCCCAGGCCTAGGCCCCACAGGCATTGCTGGGACAGCAGGTGGGATCTGGCTCTTTGGTGGTGACATGAGATGCCCAAGGACCATGATTCTCAAAGGGTGGTCCATGGGCCCCTGGGAGCCCCCAGGAATTCCAGCATGGCAGTCGTGTGGTCTGCTTGCAAACTTTAGACCCCAAACCGTTGCAGCCGCCATCTGTGATCAGGAGCGAACGCAGGCGAAGTTGCTTGGCTGCGACCTGCGGCAAGCGCGATCTGGAGGCGGCATTGGCGGGCTGTGGAGCTCAGAGCAGGAGGCATGGTGGGAAGCTGAACGAGACAGTGGGTCCAGGACCAGTCCCTGTCCTAGTGACAGAGGTCGTGGGGGAGAGGAGGGGGAGAGAAAGGCATGTAAGACAGTATCTGGGCTGATAAACCCTCTCGCTGACATGAAGCGCTCGCTTGAAGCAAGGGCTGCTTCAGATTTCCCCATGGTGACAGGTTCCACCTGTGTCCCAAGTTCTGCCAGTTCCCTGTCCCCAGTGTTGGAGCCAGGACGAGAGGCTGGGACCCCTGGCCTTGCAGCCGCTCACTGGGTCACACTGGTCAGCCCCCCACTCATTCATTCATTCATTTATGCAACAGGAATTCACGAGCAAACACTCTCTGCCAGGTTACAGTGGTGACAAAGAGAGCAAACACAGTCCCTGCCCTCATGACCCTAATAGTCTGAAGGAAGCAAGACATTAAGCAAAAGGATCACACAATTGATTATTTAATTACAATGATGATAATTGGGGTGAAGTAAAAG